TCCCTGCGGGCTGCTTCGCACAGCAGTCAGAGGAAATGCACCGCAAGGGGCCTCAGCCTCCAAATCCCCCCTTTAGGGAAGTGCCACACGCACACTTTCAGGAAGTGATATCGCCTCCTTGTGGTCTGTCCAGATACTGTCACTTAATAATCCAGAGAGAATCTCAATTACAGGCACAGAGGAGGATTCCAAGATTCTTCTGCACCTGGCGTACAAACCAGGAGAACGGTTGTAAAAGCCAAGATTTTTCTCACCTCAGTGCAAAATTCCATGAAAAATTCACCCACCAGAATTTTTTTCTCAACTTTCAACATAAAACCATAAAACGGTATCTGATAAACACCTTTGCCCAAGTGAGGGACATGAGCAGCAACGATTGGTGAGAGGGTTTATGTGCTGTAATTTTAGATGATGTAAGACAAATTTGCAATTCCTGCATCTCTATAGTTCACAGAGGAAATAGAAGGAAAGTAGTAGAAGTACTTTAATTCAACCATCTAAGCCGCTAAGTCACCACAACCAGTTACATATAAAACAGATGTGTACATGCTTCGGCTACATAAAGAGCTTTTTACTGCAGGGACAGTGACAAAGGACAAAGCTGACTCTCCTTGAGCCTTAGAGGAGTCGCGGAAGCCATCCTTTACATAGTGTTTGTGCAGAGCTTATGAGAAAAAGTTGGAAAGATAAACCTAGACACAACTTATTGGTTCTGGCATCAACCAATTAGAACAGAAAATTAAACAATTCAGAACCCTCATTCCGCAAGATGACAAAACTCCTAATGGCAGACAGAAGCCAAAAAGTCACGGTCAAGAGAAAGATAACAGATTCTTATTAGACATGTATAACAATTACTTGGCTCAAAACTCATTTCCCACGCTTTCAATTAATATAAAGGAACATGTATTTAGAATGACAAACAGATTAGAAGTTGGGAAGAGGAAATACCACGGTTCCTGATAGTCCCTAAAATAGAACATGAACACATTCTTCCTGTGAGAATAAAAGTACCTGCACAGAGTACATATATTTTATTTGCTCGTTAGTCTGACATCTGCCCAAAGGAATTAATGCATTCAGTACACAAAAAAAGGGGGAGGGCATCTTTGAAAATTTTATACTAAAGCAGCTAACAAAATCTACTGAAATCAAAGATGAAACTTCTGACTACATCACTCAGAAATCACTATAATGTCCTGGAAAATTAGGTAGGTTTTTAAGGCTTCATGTTTTAATTTCACGGAAAAGCAGTCAAATGCAACCAATGTAAAAACAACAACAACAAAAAACCAAAAAAAAAAAACAACTAACTTTGAGAGGATGAGGTGTGTAACTGATTTGGTAACATCAAGAGCCAGAGCCAAAATGGAAAGCTCAAATGAGACTCCTGAATCTAAGCAGTTTGACCAAAACCAGGCAAGATTTTTTTTTTTTGAAACTCTGATTATTCATTAATTCAACAGATATTCCCAGCCCATCCTGACCGCAGCTATTCCTGGTGGTGAGAAAGAATGGGGAGTGATCAAACCCCACCCACTCTCCTGGAGCATCTGGCAGGTGGAGGACCACCACCATCCACGGCCTATTCCATGTCAGCGAACATTCCTTCACACACACGTGAACACCCAGTGCACCAAATGCAGTGCCTGCGGGCTCCGGCCTGCCACTCTCCCCATCCCCTTTCCATCATAAACCCCAGCCACAAAGACAGCCCCAGTACCTCCCAAGAGAGGGGCTCAGACCCCCCCCCCCCGCCCCGCAGGGCCTTTGCACTTACTGTTCCCTCTGCCTGAGCCACTCTTCCTTCAGACCTCTAAACACAGATGTCTTCCCTCATTCAACTCTGCTCAAATCTCTCCACCTAAGAGAGAGTGTTCCAGGGCTGCTCAATCTAAAACAACAGCCCCCATCCTGCCCCTCTTCACTACAGCAACTCTTATTATTCTCCAGTACATAGCACTATTTGGTATTACCTCCCTTATTGCTTCTCTGCTTTTTGTTCATCTCCCCCAGTAAGATGTGAAGTCATTTACAGCGGGGTCTGTCTACCCTGTGCACCGCAATACCTGCAGTCCCCATCAAGCTGTCTGCAATGTAACAGATGCTCAATATATACTTACTTAAGAAGAACGAATATAGGCAATATTAGCAGTTTTGTAGTACAATGGTAGGTGCCACATAATAAAGGGACAACACCTTAAATGCTAAAAGAGTTGATCAGTTGGAAAAAACTATAGCTTACAGGAGTCTTAAAACACTAAAAAATAAATATAACGAACATTTACAGGTCAACACTGGCTAATACTCAACTTTTATGCTGTATTAGGCACAATCTCTAGGATTAGCAGTACAACTTATTCTATTAAGTCAGCAAATGTTCATAGCCCATCCTGACTGAGGCTGTTCCTGGGGGTGAGGAAGGTTGGGGAGCAATCAGCCCCTGCCCACGCTCCTGAAGGTGGGGGTGTTTAAAGCACTCTGAAATGTTCATTTTTAATTTAAATGAGCCAAATATTTTCTGAAAGCATGGCCCCCCCTCGTTACTCATACCCTTCTCCCAGACTGTAACAACATTAAATAGCAGATATTAGTGATAATCTACAGAAGGCAGGCATTTTAGTGCCTAATGGTAAACAAGCCCTATGGAACCAAAACTGCCTTCATCTTCAATTTAATCAAAGGCACAGTCTTTTCCCCAGGTTCAGAAATATTTAATCTCTTGTAAATTTTTCTTACAGATTCTTCTTTAGAGTTTATGTATGTTCTTTTTTACTCAGAACAAAGAGGCAGGGTGTTAAATCAAGGTGCATGACTTTAGTTCCTGGCCATCATGGATCAGGCTTCCCCACAAAGACGCCAAAGATCCTAATGGATCATTATGAAATTACACAAAAGCAAGAGGTGTATACTGGAGAGTAGGGGCATTTGTTTCCTGGAATGTGAGGCAAAGAAGTCAATTACTGCTCCTCTGGGCCTTTGGGAATAATTAAAATCCACTTACAAACCTTAAAAACGACTGTTTTACAAAAATTTTACAACAAGGTATTAGAAACAATCTACACATATCTCAATAAAATGGAGGTTAAATAAATAATTGTTCACCCCTACTGGAGTACTCTCAGCAGCTCTTACAGAATGAGACAGCTCTTAAGTACTGATAGAGGGACTGCCAAGATTCAGTACTCTAAGGTAAGGGCTTGGAGCTGGTGCAGAACAGCTTATACAATGTGTCCTCGTTTGTGGAAAGACAAATAAAAAGAACACATACAAAATGTTTATACTAGCATAAGCTATATCTGGAAAGATATACACAAGGAACTAGTAACCCTGGTTCCTGGGGAGAACAGGGTGCTATGTTTCAGAGAGGGGACAGAGATGCACAGTTTGTGCTCCAGACCTTTTTATGTCTATTCAATCTCCTACAGCGGGCACAGAGTGCCTGTCGCACAAATTAATCCAATAAATTTTAATATCAGAATAATTTATACTCTTGCCAACGTATTATTCAGGAATGATCATCAAAAGTACAGGCTTTCAAAAATCACAGAAGTTTCACTTGACAGCAGAGTTCCTGATCGTTAATTCCCAGAAGAGAATCCAAGTCTCCACTAATTAGAGAGGCTAGCTTGTGATCTCACCTATTACAAAGCAAATAAGCCTCAATTCAATTCTTGGAAGGGAAAGAGCTAAGTTCACCTTAAAAGCATACCTCGTATTTAAATTGAGCTTGTTACTACCTAATGAAGCCTCCAAATTAACAGTTTCCACCTAATGATAAAACAGAAAGTCAATGTAAAAAACGAGAGGAGAGTCTGGAGTTTCTGAAAACACGCTATACTTATTCCCTTCTTCTGCCAGGCTTAGACAAGGAACCCTCTGATATTAGTGAAAGAGGATTTCACATCTGTGGCAAAATAATAATTTTAAGGGGAGGGGCAAGCATCATTTGCACTACACAAACGCTTTAATTTTTCATTTGTAAGGGATGGAAATTTGCTTAAAACTCAAGTTAGGATTCATTTGTGGACCCCTGACTAAATGATAGTACTATATCACATTAATTTTACTCCAAGCAAAACTTTTAATGAAAGACAAATCTGAAACTGAAAATGAACATGTCAGAAGACAAACCTTAAACTGAAACCCTTCTGCTGAAAAATTTATGTTAAAAGAACACATAAAAAGAAATGCAAAAAATTAATTTCTATACAAATGCTACTCAGTAATCGTACACGTTATATCAATATTGCCTGCATTAACACCCTCCACAAAAAGGCACACTAAGATACCCAACTGAGAATAAAGACCTTATATATATACTTCGGTAGCGGAAGATGGGGACCAGAATCACATTACTCAAGCCTAGACGTAAATGCACAACCACTAGAAATGCAGTCTTCTGTCGGGGTAAGGATTCAAGATTCCAGCTCCCCCCTTTTAGACAATGTTATCAGAAGCCGCATCTTTCATGAAACCCAACTTTGTTCACTAAAGCTTTAACTCTGGGTTTTTTGAGTCTAGTGCCTTCGGATATAAACACACAAAAATACAGGTAAATCAAATACAGTATAAATAAGGGAAGGGAGGAAGAAGTGGTTTCATGAAGAGCTGAAGTACGGGGTCACGAAATCAATCGGTTGATTCCATCTCCAAAGTTAAATAAATATTAAAGTCCCCCCCCCCCCCCCGTCCCCCAGGTAGCCTATGGTCTCAGAACTTACTGCCCTATGTGGGGCAGAACTTCGCGACCGCGGAGTAGGCGCCCTCCGGGTCGCGAGGTGGCCCAAGGGCGCGCGGAGAGCGGTGCGACCCGGAGCGCTCCCCCTCCCCCGTCCCTCCTTGCGGACGCCCCCAGACCAGAGCCGACCGGAGCGCTGCCCTCCACCCCGCCCGAGCCGCCAGGCGCTCGCGGCGACGCGCCCACGGGACCGGGCTCCGGGCTCCCTGGCTCCCGCTCCCCACACCCCGCGCCGCGCCCACCCGCCTCCGGCACTCACGGGCCGCTGCCGTGCCGCTATCTCGCCATCCCCCGCCGTCCGCTCGGCCGCCTCGGCCGCCGCCCGGGGGCTGCCCGGAGTCCGCAGTCGCCCGGGGACTGGAGGCGAGGAGGAGGGGGGCCGGGCACAACCCGCCCCCGCCGCCGCCGCCGCCGCCGCCGCCTCGCCTCCCCTGCCCCAGCGCCGGGCTGCTCCAGGCGGCCACGGGCCTGGGGCCGCCCGCTGCCCTCCGCGAGCCCCGGGAGTCGCCGCCGCCGCCAGAGCCTCCTGGAGCCAACGCTAACGGCTACGGCCACGGCCACGGCCGAGACGCTTCAGCCGGGACTGCGGCGCGCGGGGGCGGTGCCTGCACGCCGCTCGGCGGGGGGCGCTGCTGTCCCGGCCCCGCCCCCAGAACCGCCCCGCCCCGCCGCCCGCGCCCCGCGCGCCCCCGCCGGAAGCCGCCCGCGCGCCCCCGCCGCCACAACCCCCCATCCCCTCCCGCGCCCGGCCGCGCGCGTCCGGCGCTCGCCTGCGGGGCCGCCCCTGGGAGTTGGAGGAGTGCGGCGGCGCGCGGAGCCGAAGCGCCAAGGGTGACGCTTCCGCGGAGAGTCCTGGCCGGAGCGAGGCGGATCTCGGAAGGTCATGTAGGAGCCGGAGAGAGCGAAGCGGCCGGGCGGGTGCGAATCCTTACGGAAGGCCGGCCGAGCGCGCGGCGGCCCTGCGGGGAAGGAGAGTGGCCCCCCCCAAATGCTGTCAGTGCCCATTGCCAACATTGCCTAGAGGATTGGAAAGTGTGGGGCCGTGTTTTCGCTTCCCCTGTAAAAACACATGAAAACCAGCTTCTGCGCCTCCTCGAGGGTGGCGGTTGGTGGGGAGGGGCGATCGCTTAGATTTTTTGAGTTACCTAAAATGCGCCCAGCGCTGGGGCCCTGCCGCTCACGCCACCTTCCTTCTTGGTGGTGCAGGGCTCCCTCCGTACTGGAGGGCCCGCGGGGGCATTCTGATAATATCCTGGAGCCATCTAGTCTTGCCTCCAAGGCGTGGTGGGCTTATTTGTACAGAGAAGAAACGGATCCCTTAATGGGGTGAAATTTTTTCCTCCGTGCATTGTTCCCATTTCCGCAGTTTCACTTGGCCTCGATTTTCTTCCAGAGTAATGCACCAAATGAAATTAGCTGGAGAACGCTTGATGGCGCAGAATCATGGTTTGAAGATGTTTACACTCCATGCCGGACGCGTTTGATGGTGTTCTCTCCGGCACAATTAATTTTGCAAAGTTCAGAAATGTGCCAGATAGAGCCCTTGGCACGCAGAGTCACAGGGCTCTGTAGACACACCTTCAATAGGAAGCCAGCTTGTTTGTTTTCATTTGTGATTTATTTGCTACACCAGCACCAAGGCCAGTGTGTTTTCTAGAGAACTTTGGGTGAAATTCTCAGTTTTTAAATTGGCAAAATGAAGCTTATTTTCTGAAATAACATTTCCTTGTTGATAATGTAACTAAAATGGGTAACAAAACACCTGCAAGAATGTTAATGGAAAAAGTAAGCTTTAGAGACAAAAATATGGGTTTCACAGTAAGACATGGTTCCTGCTAGTGTCCTAATGGCCAACTCCATCCATGTGCATATTTTATTTTACTTTTTTATTCCACGTGTGTATTTCGAACACCAAAACTAAATGCTGCCCATGGTCCCTAAGATCTTGTTTGGAAAACGTGCCTCTATTAAGTGTACCTGAAGCTCTGTTTAAGATGTACCACGTTGGGCACCTGGGTGGCTCAGTGGGTTAAAAGCCTCTGCCTTCCGCTCAGGTCATGATCCCAGGGCCTGGGATGGAGCCCCACATCAGGCTCTCTGCTAGGCAGGGAGCCTGCTTCCCTTCCTCTCTCTCTCTGCCTACTTGTGATCTCTCTCTCTCTGTCAAATAAATAAATAAAATCTTAAAAAAAAAAAAAAATGTACCACGTTGCTTTTTGTTTATCCCGGTTCTTGAGTCCATGATGGTTTGGGAAATTTATCATTATTCGTATTGGGGACTCCCACAACTGTGTTTTCCAATAGGCACAGTGCCTAGGTTCCATAGTAGTTTAGGGTGTAGTTTCAAAGGGAAAAAATTAACATTAAGATTTAAGAAAGTGTTTTAATATATATTAAAGAATTTGTCTTTATACTAATACAATGTTAAAATATAATTTTTAATCTTTTTTTAATGGAGGAAGGTATTCAACAGAGGCCTAGAGCTCCCCGAATCATGTGGTCTTGTTTCCTGGGATTTGAAAAGTTCCTTTTCGTGAAACAAATTTGCAGTTTTAAGCACATCAAATGCTAACTTTTATGACTTTGTCTTCCAGATAGAAAGAAAGAAAGAAAGAAAGAAAAGAAAAGAGAAGAGAAGAGAAGGGAGAACATTTGGGGGAATAATGCCTAGCCTAGCATCCATTGGTTACATACCATGTACCCAGAACTGTCTATTACTCCTTTAATCCTCCCAACTCACCTGTAAAATAGGTACTATTATCACACCTAGACACTGATGCAGTTTTTGTGAGGCCTAAAAATTGGGTAGTCCTCTTAAAGAAAAAGGAATAATGGAAAAAGAAAGAAAGAAAGAAAGAAAGAAAGAAAGAAAGAAAGAAAGAAAGAAAAGAAAAAGGAATAATAAATGCAGCATACTCACGCTATCCCAGCAACACCCAGTACAAGGGACAATGACAAAGCGAACATCCACGTGGAAAAGGACCTCAATCTCAGCTGACCATGGCTAAAATATCTTACTTTTGCCAACTGTATAAAAATGTACAACCATGTGAATATATTGCCAGGGTCCTGCCAGGGCCTTGAATGGGGGCTTGGAAAAGATGCCTTGAAGCTTAGCTTTAATTAGCTTCACAGAAAACTGCCTCTGATGTATACCCAATTCATAGGTCAAGAAACTCGGGGACTTGCTGCAGCTCCTAAGGGCCACCATAGTGCCCCCCCCACACCCAGGTCTGGTTTGAAAATAGGGGGTGTACACACTTCTCACGAGAAATAATGGATTTTGTATTTCCGTAACAAGGCAAGGGGTTTAAAAATACGTTAGCAATGTTCTGAATATGACTAGGCCAAAATTCAATTTGCAGCACTTGATATGATCCTGTTATCTGTGCTGACAGGAGTAAATTTTTCTTAACTACTGTGTGAAAAGGTGTATTAACCACTGGGGATTTTTAAAGGAATATCAGCTTAATTTCAAGTGCCATGGATTTCACTCAACTTCAAGGGTCATAGGCTAGTCAATCTGTAAATACTGTCTTATGTAGTATTTACTTTTTTACAATTTCCTGAGATGTTGCAAAATAAATATCAGAACAAGAATTTGTTTTGGTCTCTGCTTAGATCTCCTACTATGAAGAGCCCGACACATAGTTCTCACTAAATGTTCCTCTGAAACAAAGAATGAAAGAGAAAAGATCACTTAATGAGAAGTAAAATGGTAGGTTATTATTACAAGCTAAAATTAAATGGGAATGAAGCAGCAAATTGTTAAATTTTAACGTCTTGCTGGAGAGCAGAATTTAGCTTCTTAGTTATTTTGTGACCAAGATTTGTGCTCTTCTTTCCAACTTTCTGTGATTCTCCGTATTCCTGTTTTGTTCATTTCTCTTTTTTTGTAAATAAGATTTCATTTGAAATGCTTAAAATATAAAATGATCTCTAAATGTAACAAAAATCATAATCACACCTGTAATGGAAGTTCCCGAAACAAAAGGCTTTGTTCTTTGAAAGGATTGATCACCCACAAAAGGAATAACCTTGATATGATAAGGTTTTATTATTAAACTATTTCCATTTTGGACCTTAAGCTGGCTTTTGGGGATGTGTGATGCAACGTGTATAGTGTTTATCAATCGGCGGGCTGAGACTTGGCTGTGTTCCTGAAAGAAATTTTGGAACTAAATAAAAATATACAAATTCAGTATAGTTATTAATCGGTGAATAGTTGAAATGAGTGAAAGTATTCTTTGTTTTAAGTCTGCCTGATAAATGTAGATTTAAATTGGTTTATTTTAGAGCACAGTTTTGGACCTTAATTAGATCTTTAATTAGATCTTTAACTTTAATTAGATCCCTGTAACAAGAAGATATATGAGACCAATCGGCTAATTTTCTCTAGATGTTACGTTCTTTTCCCAAAGTGGTCTGGAATGCTATTTGAGGGGCATGAAAAATGCGATAAACACTGTGAAAGATAGTATCTGCCCAGGATTCCGTTTAGAATATTCTCTTTCAGATAAAAAAGATCTCAGGGGTGTTATGTAAACTATTTTGGTAAATTATTATATCCCTAGCATAGCCCCAACAGGATTACATTTTGTCTTTTGTTTATTTATACTGTGCCTTCTTCCAAAGAGACTTAAGGCGGTTTACAATGAAAGGCAAATATTAAAAAAAAAAAAAAAAAAGGCAAGTCAAAAAAGTCTGGCTGAGACAAACAATAGCATTTGAGCACAAAACTTAGCTCCAAGTTTTCTCATAGCCAAGTGAAACAGGGAAATGAAGATTTTCATAACTCCCTTTGTCAAGTGGAAGAAATCGTACAATATATTGAGGAGAAAGTCTCTCCTGGTCCAAGTTCTGAGAGGAATTTGTTATAAGGGTCTTTATATAAGGGATATTTAAAAATCTAAATTAAGAAGGCTACTACACACCAATGGTTTTAGACCCCTTTGCGTGGCAAGCAGAGCTAATATGTATTTTTTTTTCCTGGTGAATAGCTTTGAAATTGCTATTGTTGAAAGTACGTAGCAAGACGCCCACAGAGTAATAATTTTTTATACTGTCCTTTGAAGGCAAGCCAAGGACGTAATATCAAATCTTGGTTTTTCCAGTTTCCTTCTTTATAAAAAGGAGTTATTAAAAGTACCTACCTCATGGGGTGGTAGAAAGAACAACTGAATTAACGTCTATAAAACCACTTACTCTGTGTTACTTTTGCTAGTTTTCCTCAGCCAACGAGTGTGTTGTGTACTTCCTCCTCCCCTCTTAGAGCTTGTCCTGTATCGTGAACAGCTTCAAGTCCCTTTTGG